ATGGAGGGAGGATGTTGCCTAATTAACTTGTGATAAATGCAAACAATATTAAACCATGCCTTCCTGCCACCGGCAAAACCTTTACCTACTGGGGAAGGAATTTAAGGAATTCAAATCTTGTATGTGGAAACATGTTGAAAAGAGCTCCCTCTAATTATAGACCATATGAAATGACTCGAATCAGAATTAATCATATAATACCGAATATATACTAGATATTTATTTTGCGAAAAAAAAAGAAACTTCTCCTTTACATTTCTCATCACAAAGTCAAAATGCATGGCAGACAGTTGCTAGAATTAATTATTTAAAGATCGTGAAGGTAGACTTTGAACGATATAAAGAGAAAACCAACATATTAAATTTCATTTAAATGTACGTACGAAGTAACAAATAAGATTGTTGGAAACAGTTCATAAAAATATTTGACATATTATAGCACGCCTTGTAGAAAAAAAATTTGAGTTCTTACTCAATTAAGTAATTAATGAGGGTGTTTTAAATAAATTAAATATTATATTTATTATACTCTAGAGTATGATTAAAAATGGAAAAAAAATTTTTTAAAAAAATCAAGATTCTAACTAATTTTTTTAAATGTAAATAGTTAATAATGACTTACTCTCTCAGGATCATAATATAAGACATTTTTTAAAAGCCTTGCTTGTTTTAAAATATAAGGCATTGAATAACTTTTATATTTATTTTTCAATTATACTCTTATTTTATTTATTACTCTTTTTAAAAAAATTGTGTACTGAAATTTTAATTACTATTATCAAGATATTTATATAGAATATTTAATGAGAATAAAAATAAAAATATGTAAATTTTGTAATAATTTAAGATTTCTTATATTATGATTTGGAGAAAGTATATTGTGACAATTAAGTTATTTATGATAAAGTTTGATAAAAAAAACAGTTATTTATGATAAAGAAAAATGAAAAATAATACCTGAATGGACAAGAATTTGTCTCCTGATTTCAAGACCTTGTGATATATGCTTACAAAAAAACAAACTACATAGAGTATTTAATATTCATTCAATGCAAGTGATCTCATAATTACTGTTGACGTCGTACAATGTACGTGCTATAAGTGTCTAAGATATGATTTGGATTTTGAGTTAAAGTAGTGTTGAAAAAAAATTAAAGAAAGATTGTGATAAAAGAAAAGTGTACACGCACACGGTACACACCCCATCGTGTCTTTCTTCACTTACTCTTTTCAGTTTTTTTTTTTTCCTTTTTTTTTTTGCATTTTATTTCTTACTTGCATACAAGGATTTTGTAAACTTTTAAATTCACATAATCTAACTTTGTTCACATTTCTACCTTTCATGACTATATTATCCTCACAATTCATAATTTCATACGAGCTTTTTCAAGTTAAAGAAAAACCAAAAGGCTAATTTAAAAGGAAAAATATTTTAAATAATTGTTTAGGTGATCAAAGTCTCATCTCCTTTGATCTTATAATGTCACACAGGTTTTCACTTTCCATGACTCAATTTCATAAAATGTCTTTAAATCCTTTAATCGTAACATACCATTAATTTGTTTCGTTAATAAAAAATACACATATATTGAAATAGATTGTCATTTTATTTAAGAGAAGATTCAATCAACTTGTTTTACTATCAAATATTTCTGTTCCAATTATAAACTAGCATTTTATCAAGGAAAAAAAAATTATAAACTGTATATCAGAAAAAAGAAAAAAGAAAAAAATTTTAAACTAGCAAAATATTAACTAAAACTCTCTAAGGCCCTTGAATAAAGTATATCCGCGTGACAAGTTTGGCAGGGTTAAAGGGCCTTGAATAAATTATAGGTTTTTAAACTCATTTTTAATATAATGTTCTCATTCAACATTTTAAAATAGTATAATATTGTAAATGTTAAATTTGATCATTGGTTGACAAAAATTATAAAAAAAATAACTTCAAAGATTACATAAAAAGACTAAGAAAATTACATAAATGAATTCTGAGAAAACTAATATCAATTGAGATCTTTCTTTATAATTTTTTAGTCAACTAACATAATCAAGTTAACATTTGTTAATGGGTAATATTATATCATTTTAAAATGTTTAAGAAAAATATTGCATAAAAAACGAGTTTAGATTCTTAGATGTTCTGAGACTTATAGTTTAGAGGCAAAATTTTCATTTAACCCAAGTATATATTATATTTACTGTATGATATTAAGGTTGGCTATGTTCTTATTTAAGCAATCGATCAGTATGTAATTATTATCATTATTTCTTTGTCTTGTCTATACAATTATAAATAAGACAGACTGTACATTGCTCAGTATATATATCACTAACTACTTTTTCAAATCTCTCTCAATTCCATATGGTATAATTTCAAAATCTTTATCAAATATTTTTCAAATATTAACATTAATTCAAAAGCATTTATGGGATAACAATAAATGTACAGACATGAAATCAAATGGATGGACATGATTTTATGTATGGAGATGTATGGAAATCCAAATAGTATAAAGTATAAAGAAGATTCAAATCCAAACAGTTACTTTCCATAGGAAAACTTATTTTTTCATAACCATGTAAAGAATATAACCTTAGGTAATATCACAATTATTTTCTAATAATGCAATATTCAACATATTTGCTTTTCTTAAACTGGGGCATTATAATAGTTAAATATTGGTTAACAATATCCGATCCAATTTTCTAGCTTTTGCCAGCAGATTTTACGGTTTCGTACAAGGAAACAAAATGCCGAAAAGGATAATTGCAATCATGTGAATGTGCTTTGAACTTTTTTTGTTGATTCCTTTAAGACAAAATTGACTTCTTCTAATGAAGTTGGCGAAAGCCTAGTTTTGTCTGATCACACTTGTAATTTTGGTATCCTATAGTGGATTTACTTGGCATAATAAGCAAACTATGCAACTAAATGAATAATTTGGTAAACTTAATGCCAATGAAAATAATATGTATATCACTTCAATTTTTTCTAAAAAGAAAAAGAAAAAGAAATCCTAAAATTGCATCCAATATATAATGATTATCAGAAACAATAAATTAAGATTACAACTTTGTTATGAAAGAAAGAACCCTTCTAGAATTTTGTGACTGAACAAAACTATAGAACATAAAATAAAACTGAAAGTGCCTATGTATCCAGAAATGTCTCAGGGTTTTGTTATTTGTTTGTTACTTCCCATCCCTTAAATTGCAACTCAATAAATTTATATCATTAAACAAATCACGTCATCGATAATTTATATACTACTTTATTTTATTTGTAAAAAAAAAAACTATTACTTTTTACTTGTTTTTTTATATAAAGAAAATCACATGTTTCAATAAGTATTTTATAATTTACATTAATGAGAAATAATTAATGCATGCTTATGTTAATTAACATAGGGTATTTTAATCCAATTTCTTTATTTTCAAACATAAAATAATTAATGCATACTTATATTGATTAATATATGGAATTTTAATTTAATTTTTTATTTCCAAACACTATTTTTAATAACCAAATTTTTAAATTATGTGATATAATTTTTTTCTCTTATATATAGAAACGGAGGGAGTATATCTAGTCAAACACAGGAGTACTCCCCTCCATTTAAAAATAAAAATATTTTTAACTTAATCTCACCTCCAATAAAGTAGTTACTTACTTTTAAACTAACCCTATCTTTTCATATTTATCTTTATTAAATACTCTATAATAAATATAAAGTCATTCATTATTCGAATTTTTTTAAAAAAAGAAAACAATTACATTTTAAAAAATTAAAAATGCTTTACATTTTTAAACGAAAGAAGTATGTGTTATTATTCCAAAAACACATAACAAATAAATAATAAATGTGAGACAGAAAATATTGAATCAAAGGATGAAATATACCTCTCTCCATTCTCATTTATAAGATAGGTTCTAAAAAATCTATTTGGTTCATTTATAAGTCACGTTCTGAATTTTTAAATAATATTTAAAAGGTATTTTTAAAATTATCCTTTATGAGGGAATAAAAGTAACATAACATCACTTTTAAAATTTGTTATATAGGAGTCTATTTAAAATTTACACACTTTTATTCTTTTTACTTTTCTTGTATTAGTATTAATAAGATTAGGAAAAATGACTTATAAAGAGGATCGAAAGAATATGTGTAAGAGAAAAAACTTATATAATTAGCTTTACATGCTTTAGATATATGCTTGTTTAAATTAAGAAATGTAAATCTTTTATAAATTATTTATTCTATAATAAATTGTTGTTGTTGTTGATTTGATGTAATAAAAGTATATTAAAGTGTATAAAACTAAATATAGATATACATTTACATTCATTCATGCACACATATATATTTGTATCATCGGAATTCGAAACAATACAAGGAACTACTTTTTAATTTTGTCCCATATACATTGAAGCAATTAAGTACGCCATACAGAAATTTCCTCCAATACAAAACAAACTCTCTGCGGCCAGCCTATCCATATCAGCCTTTTTTTTGGACCTAAATCAGATAGAAATCACATAGCAAAGTCCTCCAAACCAAACTACAGAAGGAGCAACTTCTATATAAAAAAAAAACCAATAAAGAAAAACAAGAAAAAGAAAAGAAAAGAAAAACACTAGACGCTCATCCCAGATCACTCAACTCCAAATTTACACTCCACAAGCTTTGGCATCAAATTCTGCTCAGTCTGAAGACATTGTTAGATGTTGATAAGTGACTTATAAATATCTTTATAAGTATTCTTCGGCCTGAAGACTTGTCTTCACCTTGGTGAGCGGCCATCCAGAATAAACTCACCTAAACAAAAAAAACTCCAAACCCAAAGAGTTAAGAGTCCAAGGAGAAAAAGCATACGCAAGGGATTGATCCATCTGGATATGTACAGAACTAAGATGAAAAGTAACGAAACAGACCATAGAATAGAAACATTCTGAATCTCCTGTGATTAACTGATATTCATGCAGAACTATTACGACCTTATTCTCCATTATCATCAGCTTGAGGATAAAGATGATGAAGGTCGTCTGGTGAATTCACATTCTCAAAACAAACACTAGGAAACGCAGCATTCAATGCAGCCACGTCGGACTGATCCATCATCTGAGCCTGAGGAGGCAGCAAAAACGACGACGTCGGTGCCAGTTGCAGACGACCTCCGCCACTCCCACCACCTCGAAATTCGACATTTCCATGGGGATAACTGAATTGCGGCGAGCCTTGAAACTGATTCATGCTTCCACAACCACCAGTCTGTGCCGTCGGAAATGATCCATAACTGACGCTGTCTGTGGCGGCGACACCAGTACCTCCACTCCAGCTGCTTTGCATCCAAAATGTGCTACCGACAGAGCCGCCGCCGGGATCAGATGGCGCCACCGCCCACATTGGGGTGCGGAGGAAATTGGTAGGTGGACGAAGGACGTTCAAAGTCGAAGGTCCTTTTTGCAGCAGCTGTTGTGGTTGCTTCTGAAATTGCGAGTCAACATCCACGCGTTGTTGTATTTGTTCTTGGATAGAGTCTTCTCGGAAACGTTTTCTCGTATAATCTTCAGTGGATTCTCCGACGTTCACTGCTCCGCCGGCGGCACCTGGTAGCTCTTCTGGAATTTGACCGGCGGTCAATAGATGAATTTGGTCGTCTTGTTGCTGAGGTTGATATTGCTGCATTAACCCTAACAAAGTAGAACGCGGATACAGTTCTTCGAAAGGCTGATAATTAGCAGAGGGTGCTACAACTCCATGAAATGTATTCGGAGCAAACCTCGTCGGCGGAGCCGAGAAAGTGGACCCACCACTCCGATGCGACGGGTTGAGAGTTGAGAAGTTTGAGGACAACGTGCCGGTGCCAGTGGTGGCCATGATTGCCGGCTCCGCGTGCTGCAGAAGCCACTCGATCGTCTCTCCGTCGGACTTCAGACCCAGCTCCTTGGTTAACTGAAAAACCCTAGACGCACAGCCTGCCGGAATTCTAATTCTCCGGCCACGACCATCAACCTTGGTGTGTCTGTCCTTCGTTTTCGGCCTGTTCGCACCTACATTCCTCGCCGCCACTGCCGCCGCCGTCCCTGTAGAGATTAACAACTGTCGCCGAACTTCTTGTCTCCTGATCGAATCGAGCAGAAGCCTGGATGGATCAGCAGATGATTCAGGGTCAGATCTAGGGATGTCGATGGCAGGAGAGGCATCGATGAGAGAATTAACCGGAGCTGAAGATGACGAGGACGACGAAGAAGAAGAAGTAGGAGAAGGTGACAAAGAAGCAGAAGCAGCCGTAGCAGCAGAGAGGCCAGCTTGGATGGAGATGGTGGAGCCCACATTGATGAAAGACGAGGGACCTCCTCTTCCTCCATTAAAAGGGACCACAGCAACCTGCGACAACGGAGGCAACTGTAACTGATTTTGTTGCTGCTGCTGCAAATACTGCTGATGGTTCTGACGATGTTGTTGGCGGTGGTGGGGCTGACTTGGTCTGGTTTCTGAAAGCTCCATTTTGGTGACCTGAGAGAAAAGAAAACGATAATGGGTATATACCGAAAATTGGTCTGAATCTGTATGGGATTTTATAGGGAATTTTACTTCACAAAGCCAAGATTCTCTGTGGATTTTGATTGACCTGTGTCTTCTTGCTCTATTCTCAGCCTAAGTGATGAGAGATAGAGTCACAGGGACGGGGGGGGGGGGGGGAAGAAAATTTATGAGGGGGGTGGGGAGGGGAAGCGAAGGGGTGAGAAATCCATAGTGAGACAAGGACAGTAGTGGGTTATTATAGTGAAATTAAAGAGATAAAAAATGTGAATAATAATAATAAAAAAAATTAAAAATATGTGAATAATAATAATTTTTTGATCTCTTTTCATGTATTTGTTCTTTTATGTGAATAATAATAATGATAATGAAATTGATAAGGGCTAGTTTAGAATTGATTGAAAGAAACTTCATTAATTAGTACTGTTAATAAGATTCAATCAAAAAAATTATGTTAGGGAGTTCCCTTTTGATGAGATTTAATAATATTTAAATTTGACGAAAAATATTAGATATTAGATAATTATAAAAAGAATAATAGATTTAGTTTATTTAACTTAAAAACTAGTATAATTTTAAGAAATATGTTGATCACTTGATTGGCTCAAAATAATTAGACTTAAGTATTGCTCCCTCCATCCCAAATTATAAAATAATTTTAAAAAAATTTAGCATCCTAAAATATAAAATATTTTAATAAAATAAGATTTCATTAATAATACTTTTTTAATATTATATTTTTCATATATTCTCTCTCTTCAATATTCTTTCACCAAAATGAAGGATATTTTTAAAAGTTTATATTTTTATTTTAAAAAAATAAGGTTGTAAAGTGTATTTAATAAGCTTTATTGATATGTGAGATTTTGTTTAAAAATATTTTATAATTTAGAATGAAAGGAGTAATATTTTTTATTTGTAATTCAAGTAATTTTAAATAAATGTTGCTTAAGAACGAAGCTGTAATAAATAAAACTGTTGTGGGCATTTTGGAGGTAAAGAGGTAGGGAAACAAATAATGGATATGAATCCATTTCATTAATTGCAAAAAAAAAAAGGCAATAAAGAATATTGAAAAATGAAGAATAATTTTGCATAAATAAATGTTACCTTTTTATGATTCTCTTTCTTTCTCTCGGTGGGAATTTTGTTTGGGATTGTAAAAAGAAAACACAGAAAATGTGAGGAAAGCCAAAATTAGTGCTAGACTTCAGGTAAAGGCATCTTCATGCAGTTTGACAGGTCATCTTGTCACAGTCTCCACACTGCCTTTCTTTGTTTGTTTCTGATTTTTACAAAATTCCTTTTCCTAATTGGCAGAGCTGAAAAGACAGAATTGGCCCTGGTCCGTGAGGATTTCATTTTTATGGTTGCATCAGTTGCTTGCAGAAGAAGCCACTTTATACAAGTAGGACAAAATGCACCTCTTCCTCTTTTTCAGGGATATTATAACTTTTAATTTTTAATTTTTTTCAATTATTGATTTAGTATATAATATTTAATTATTGAGTTAAAAAATTATAGAGTTTAGGTTGTATCAAATTAAATAAGAATTAAGTTATTTCAAGTTGAGAAATATAAGAACTAAGTTGTGACAATAGAAAATTAAGGGCTAAAAGTTATATGTTCTCCTTTTTTTAATTACTAAAAAATATGAATAGTGATTATTAAAATTAATGTCATCAACTAAAGGGAGATTGGGTTTAATGAAAGGGTTTAGTTTTTCATAACGTGGTGAATCAAGGTTCGAATTTTTATTGAAAGAAGTATTAACATTTAGTATGGGACGGTGCCTCAAACAGAATCAATTTCAATAGTCAAATATTTATGGGAAACCAATTTTTTTTTTTAAAAATATCAATGTCGTCAATATGTTTATAAGGAGTCACATTATTCAAAAATTGTAAGGCAAAATTATTGAGAAGTCTCACACAAGAATTTCAATTACCAAAAAATCTCATAAAATACATAAAATAGTACCAAGTCACAAATCCTAGGCAATTACAATTTGATAAAGAAAAATGATAACTTATATTAAACTCATATCAAGTTATAATTTTTCTTTTGCCAAGTTATAATTACACAAAATTTGAGACTTGGCAATATTCCGTGCATTTCATGAAATCTCTTTGTAATTAAAATCATTACAAGGGACCTTGGAGTAATTTTTTCAAATTGTAAAAAGTATAAATTTTTAAGCTGTATATGATGTTTATATTTTTTTTTGAATACAAGGCCACAATAAAAATACCGTGTAAAAGGATCAAGGTCAAGTAATATTAGAAGAAAAAATACTTCTACAATCTGTATATGATGTTCATTTTAATTCATTATGTGATCTTTGCATAGAGTCACTTCTAGTTATATTATAACTATTCAATAAGTTATAAAACAAGTAAGTATAAAATTTTTAATTTGTTGGCTGTTATCGAATGCTTGACTTTTAAACACTAAGTTGCATATATTATTAGTTTTTATAACGTAAATTTAGTACTTATAATAAAAGCTTTTGACGCATGCCAATTAAAATAGTTGTCATAACTTCAACTTGAATTTCTTTATTCGTGACAAAATTTACTCTCTCTCTCTGTTTTTTTTTTTTAAGATGTAGGCGCTGTTAATTCGTTTTTGCGTTGGAGGCCCCTCATATGTACTAATTACAAGAAGCAACAACACCTGAAGTGCCAGAAATAAAATGCTTGTTCTTATATCATAAATATATAGTATAATTTATTAAAAGTTTAATATTATATATTTATTCATGTCAAAAAATATTATATATATATATATATATATTTGGAGTCTCTAATACATGTATGCATAAACTTTAAAACTTTTGTGCTTTTGGCCAAAAAAAAAAAATTTTGCGCGTGACATGGGTTTCGAAGAGAATAATAAAGTGGCAATGAAAATTATTTAGGGCCATTAATTTTTTATCTTTAAAAAATATTTTTTAAAATAAAAAATTTAAAAAATTATTTAAACAAGTGTTTCCAATTTAATTGTTTTCAAAACTATTTTTATTTTTTATTTTTTAAAATAGAAACAACTTCAAATTGTTTTTGTTTTATTTTTTTTAAATACACTGCATTTGATTATTGGAATTACAGTTACCTTAATCAATTTTTATTATAAATTACCACTATTAATTATCTATAACTATCACTATCGATCTATTTTTTAATTTTTAAATTAACATAACCAAAAATATTTTTATTTTATTTTGTTTTAAAAAATAATTTTAAAAACTGTATTATAGAACGGTTTTTAAAAATAAAAAATAAAAATAGAAACCAAGCAATTCCTTAACTTTTTTCCTATGGAAAAAATATTTTTGTGTGTATGGATAGTAACATTTTTATCCAATAAGTTAAATCAGTACAACTTATAATCTTGCTCTTTTCCGCCTTCCATCTTTTCCTGAAGCATACCAAATTTAACTCATTTTTGGATTTTATGGCATATGAACCATGAAGCATGCCAAATTTAACTCATCAGTTTGCTCAAGCTTGTTGGAACCTTTGGAAGATCAGACGCAGTCTCTCTTAGATTCTGGCAATGACTTTTTGGAGAGAGACATATATAGCTTTCATTAACATTGAAAACATGATCAACTGGTCTTGAGTATGGATGCGAAGATGAATATATTGGTTTCAAGACAGAGAGATGTGCATTCCAAATGGCTCACTCACATCTCAACCTGGCTGGGTCAGATTGGACCCTGATGGATCAGTTAATATGAATGAAGCTGCTTCTTGTGAAGGATTCATGGGAGATGCACAAAAGATGAGATATGGAGAAAGGGTTTCACCAAATTTCTTGGCTTCCAACCTAGCACTGCAATGTTCGTCCCGTTGTTGCGTCGCTGGGGATTTGCGGCCTGTTCGTCACGTCTTCGTTGGCAGAGATCTACAGCTATGCGTCAGCGAAGATATGAAGTCTTGCCATCATCCATTTGTGCGTAGTAGGTTTGTTTTAAATTTTTAAAAAAAATTATATAATTATGTAGTTATTTTAATAAGTTGCTATATATACATATATATTAATAATGTAGGTTTGATAATAATGATCTATGACTTTGGTTTTTTTTTTCTGACATTAAACTACTCTCATGTTAGTTAAAATTGAACTTGAAATTGATTATAATTGTTATATGATTGAGTTGTTATATAAATGAATTTTGGTGTGCTTATGTTGAAATTTACTTTCTGTTAATTAAGTGCTAGAAGTTGAATGTAGTTATTATTGAAGTATGGATGTTGAAATTTAAAAGGAAACTCTTGTTTAATGTTTTTTTTGGTTGTATATTTATGAAATGTATAATTCTTTTTTATGACTATAATAGTATTAAGTTAATAGATAAACATAAGATAAATTATAATTATTTGATAAATTTTTGTTAAATTATGCTACAAAATTTTTATTTGAATGAATTGATATACTGAATTATTAGATTTGATTGTTAGAGATGTTTCACTCTTAGAGAGGACTCTACAAATTTTTTAAGAAAAAACATTCTAAATCTTTGATTTTTGAATTTTCATGACTATATTAATGATATAGATCGTAAATAGATGTTGGTTAATCAGTTGTCTGAAAAATATTGAGATGGGGTAGATAAGTTCATTGAGTTTATATTTTCTCATGTTCAAGACCTCTGTGAAGTCAAATGTCTTTGTTTAAAATTTTGCTCTGGAAGATGAGTGATTAAGGCCAATAAAATTAAAAGATTATTTGATATGTAATAGGATTGATCCAACTTACACTTGTTGGACCATGCATGGGGAGCAAATAGAAGATGTGACTGAGAAGTGATCAAAATATATAATTAATTATTTGTGATTGGTAACTTTTAATGTTCGAAAAATACCAAAAGTTTTATTTGTTAGACTAGCATATTAGACAAGATAGAAATTTAATCTAAGTTTGTTCTAATTTCAAGTTCTTTAGTTGTATATAATTTC